CTTAATTATCAGCGTAAAACATTTCTGTTTTAATTTTTTTTCTCTTATAGTTCATTTTTTTCCTCTCTTACTTCTCCCCCATTTTACTTTAATAATTGTAGCTAATTTGACCATTTTGTTCTCTTGGCCCGTTTCTCATCCCATACTTCTTTAATTGCATCCTGCCCACAATCTTTAGATTAATGTTCCTCTGTGCAAAATCTCTTGCTGAGGCAACATGAATCTACATTCACATTTTGATAGTTAACAGTCAAGGCTGCAAGCAGTTAGTTGTCAAACTCAGCTGTCACTGACCCACTAAAGACCAGAAAATAATTAGACTGATACCCAATCATGTGATCTTTATGTTAGCGCTTTCTCAATAATTCTTCATTTCCACCTCTTTCCCCTCTTTACCTTAATAATTGCACCTATTTTGACAATGTCATGCAGAGAGAATGTTAATGTTCACATTTTGGCAGTTAATAGATGACATTATGCACAGCTGCAAGCTGTCACTGACTGCTCTGGTCCCCACCAAAGATCAGCAACCAGTCAGAGTGGTTCCTAGTTATGTAATCACTATGTCAGCTATATTACAGTGATCACATGTAGGCTGGAGACTTAGAAAAAACAACAACTTTACAGATGTCACTCCATCCTAAAGATGGCAATATGCATCTGTTTAACTATTTACTGTTTTAAAACAGTAATAATAATATTAATAATCATAATAATATATTTAATTTATTTGTCAGTCTATAAAAATACAAAGCAATGTTTTTAATAAAACAATGTATCAAATAAAAGCCTTATATGCCCTTAAAAATATATTAAAAAATGTAGGAAGGCAAATTAGTCATAGATATAGCGTCTAGTTACACACAACACGGTACAACTGCTAAACTTGACCTAGGCATTTAGGCTTCATTAATGCCTGGGTACAAAAGGGTTACTCACCCTTTCATCTTCATTATCAGTCCAATCATGATTTCTCCCTAATCTTTAATCCTCTTTGCTGAGTATGTGCCTATTAATCCTCTCAGGGTAATAATTAAAAATCTATAATTCTAGAAAGGGAGTTAATCTCCATTTGATTTTTTTTAATTAACACCTCCAAATGTTTGCAATCATTCTCATTTATTAAAAATATTACATTTTAAAAAAATATATAAATTGTATTTTCCCACCCAGTACAAAAGTTTATCCAACCATAGAAGAATTTGTTCTGTGAACTAACCTTAAACACACTTTTCTTAAAGTGGTTTAGTTTAAAAATTCACTGAGCATTAATTGTTGTAAAATAGGTTCAACACATCTCCAAATCTGTATTATGAGCTTTCATCTTCCCATTGATTCTGAAATGGCAATAAAATAAAAAAAAAGTTTCTTCATCCATTTAAGATCTGAATTTTTATCAAGAGACTAATTCTGGCCATACAGGGTTGAACAAAAGAAAATGGGCACAATTCACTAAAGCTTATCGCATGAGTTAAGTCAGTCACATGACCACATATTGCATGTAGAGATGAGCGAAGTATTCAAAAATTCGATTCGACTGATTCGGCGAATTCGTGGAAAAATTTCAATTCGAGTCGAATATATTCGCTGCGAATTTAACTTATAAAAGGGTGTTTCTAGGCTTCAGAGAGACTTTATATTAGTGCAGAACACTGTACCTTTAATTTAAATGCCCTTGGAGTCTGCTGGGGAAGAGAAATAATACTGACAGTCAGTATGACATGCAGATGAGTGCCGTCGATCTTAGAATCACCGCACACTTCACTCATTTGGGCAGTCACGGGGCCAAAACCAGAGTGTGGAGCCACAGTGTGGCGGTGGAGGCAGCAGCAATGGGAGGCCATACAGCACCCTATGACAAAAATGGAAACCACCAGCAGTGTGAGGAGACCTGAAAGTGGCACATGGCAGAGTGTGGCGATGGAGACAGCAGCAATGGGAGGCCGTACAGGGACCCATGACACACTCTGGAGCTGGCAGCAGCATGAGGAGGCGGTACAGGGGCCCATGACAGATTACGGGCCTGGCAGCAGCATGAGGAGTTGGTACGGGGGCCCATGGCAGATTACGGGCCTGGCAGCAGCAATGGGAGGCCGTACAGGGACCCATGACACACTCTGGACCTGGCAGCAGCATGGGGAGGCGGTACAGGGGCCCATGACAGATTACGGGCCTGGCAGCAGCATGAGGAGTCGGTACGGAGGCCCATGACACACTCTGGACCTGGCAGCAGCATGAGGAGGCGGTACAGGGGCGCATGACAGATTACGAGCCTGGCAGCAGCAACTTGGACAGGAGGACGTTCAGCTTCTGCACCGTCGGGTGCGTGCTCGCAAACTGTTGTCTCTTGGAAACGGATTCCAAGAAAGACTGCTGACGGAATCCGTGAAGAGGAGTAGCAGGAGAAGGAGCATCTGAACGAGCGGAATATGCCAACAAGCGACAACAGGGGCCCATGACAGATTACGGGCCTGGCAGCAGCATGAGGAGTCGGTACGGGGGCCCATGGCAGATTAGGGGCCTGGCAGCAGCTATGGGAGGCCCGTAATCTGCCAGCACCCTATGACAAAAAATTCAACACACCAGCAGTGTGAGGAGACCTGAAAGTGGCACATGGCAGAGTGTGGCGATGGAGACAGCAGCAATGGGAGGCCGTACAGGGACCCATGAGAGACTCTGGACCTGGCAGCAGCATGAGGAGGCGGTATAAGGGCCCATGGCAGATTAGGGGCCTGGCAGCAGCTATGGGAGGCCCGTAATCTGCCAGCACCCTATGACAAAAAATGGAACCCACCAGCAGTGTGAGGAGACCTGAAAGTGGCACATGGCAGAGTGTGGCGATGGAGACAGCAGCAATGGGAGGCCGTACAGGGACCCATGAGAGACTCTGGACTTGGCAGCAGCATGAGGAGGCGGTATAGGGGCCCATGGCAGATTAGGGGCCTGGCAGCAGCTATGGGAGGCACGTAATCTGCCAGCACCCTATGACAAAAAATGGAACACACCAGCAGTGTGAGGAGACCTGAAAGTGGCACATGTTTGGGGCATGATTCATGGCGGATTTAGTCAGTTGTGTCAGGAACTGGTGGTTTGAAATCCAGACTAATCCACGCCTGATTCATTTTCACAAACGTGAGTCTCTCCACACTTTGGGTGGACAGTCGTGTCCTCCGCGGAGTTGCAATACCTCCTGCCGCACTAAACACGCGCTCCGATGCCACGCTACTGGCCGGGCATGACAGCCTTTCAAGGGCAAATTCAGCTAGTTGGGGCCAAAGGTCAAGTTTCGTTGCCCAGTAGTCAAGGGGATTGTCTACCTCGGTTGGCAGGGTGTTGTCCAAGTAGGCCTAAGCCTGTTGTTTGAGGTCCTGCTCCAGGTCCACCTGATGCTGCTGCTGCTGCTGCTGCGCGCTGGTTATTAGTTTCCTCACTGCGCTGGTGAAGAAAGCTACTCATCATCGACTGCAGACTGAGGCAGCTGCTGCTGGTGGAGCTGCCACTGCTCCTACCACCCCACCCCTCCCCTGCTGCCATGGCAGCGGAACGCGAGCGCACAGGGCCCACAGTGTCTGAGGATGGACGTTGGCGCAGACAGGCAGAGACCAGCTGACTACATAGGTGGTTTTTATAGTACGTTATTTTGGCCTCCCTCTCAGCAGGTGTGAAAAAGGCCACCATTTTTGAACGGTAGCGAGGGTCCAACAAGGTGGACAGCCAAAAGTCATCCCTCTGTCTGATGGTTATTATTCGGCTGTCGGTACGCAAGCAAGCGAGCATGCTATGGGCCATTTGTGCCAAGGAATGCGAGGGACTCCCTGCCTCCATCTCCACAGCATACTGCCACGGTGCGTCTGGGTCCTCTGTCTCCTCTTCCTCCTCCTCTACCAGATGCTCCTGCTCCTCCACTCCTGTCCGCTGAGTGGAAAAACCACCCATTTCACTCAATAATTCCTGAGCACCAATGTCCTCCTCTACCTCCTCCTCTTCTTCCTGTCCTGCCCCCACAGGGGTCATGTGGCGTTGAGATCTGTGCGCCACGTCTACCGCACCCTGACCAGCCATTGTTAACAGCATTTGTTCCAGGACGTGCAACAGAGGAATGACGTCGTTCATCCCATAGTCCTGCCGACTCACGAATAGCGTGGCCTCCTCAAAGGGCCTGAGCAAGCGCAGGTGTCACGCATGAGCTGCCAATGGCTGACATCTAAGTTACACAGGGAGTACCTTTATCCGCTTTTAACATCAGGAAATCTGTGATGGCCTTTTGCTGTTCGTAAAGGCGGTCTAACATATGTAGGGTTGAATTCCACCTTGTTGCAACGTCACAGCATGAGGAGTCGGTACGGGGGCCCATGGCAGATTATGGGCCTGGCAGCAGCAATGGGAGGCCCGTAATCTGCCAGCACCCTATGTCAAAAAATTGAACACACCAGCAGTGTGTGAGGAGACCTGAAAGTGGCACATGGCAAGTGTGGCGATGGAGACAGCAGCAATGGGAGGCCGTACAGGGACCCATGAGAGACTCTGGACCTGGCAACAGCATGAGGAGGCGGTATAGGGGCCCATGGCAGATTAGGGGCCTGGCAGAAGCTATAGGAGGCCCGTAATCTGCCAGCACCCTATGTCAAAAAATTGAACACACCAGCAGTGTGAGGAAACCTGAAAGTGGCACATGGCATGAGACACTGTGGACCTGGCAGCAGCATGAGGAGGCGGTACAGGGGCCCATGGCAGATTAGGGGCCTGGCAGCAGCTATGGGAGGCCCGTAATCTGCCAGCACCCTATGTCAAAAAATTTAACACACCAGCAGTGTGTGAGGAGACCTGAAAGTGGCACATGGCAGAGTGTGGCGATGGAGACAGCAGCAATGGGAGGCCGTACAGGGACCCATGAGAGACTCTGGACCTGGCAGCAGCATGAGGAGGCAGTAAAGGGGCCCATGGCAGATTAGGGGCCTGGCAGCAGCTATGGAGGCCCGTAATCTGCCAGCACCCTATGTCAAAAAATTCAACACACCAGCAGTGTGAGGAGACCTGAAAGTGGCACATGGCAGAGTGTGGCGATGGAGACAGCAGCAATGGGAGGCCGTACAGGGACCCATGAGAGACTCTGGACCTGGCAGCAGCATGAGGAGGCGGTACAGGGGCCCATGGCAGATTAGGGGCCTGGCAGCAGCTATAGGAGGCCCGTAATCTGCCAGCACCCTATGACAAAAAATGGAACACACCAGCAGTGTGAGGAGACCTGAAAGTGGCACGTGGCAGAGTGTGGCGATGGAGACAGCAGCAATGGGAGGCCGTACAGGGACCCATGAGAGACTCTGGATCTGGCAGCAGCATGAGGAGGCGGTATATAGGGGCCCATGGCAGATTAGGGGCCTGGCAGCAGCTATGGGAGGCCCGTAATCTGCCAGCACCCTATGTCAAAAAATTCAACACACCAGCAGTGTGAGGAGACCTGAAAGTGGCACATGGCATGAGACACTGTGGACCTGGCAGCAGCATGAGGAGGCGGTACAGGGGCCCATGGCAGATTAGGGGCCTGGCAGCAGCTATGGGAGGCCCGTAATCTGCCAGCACCCTATGACAAAAAATGGAACACACCAGCAGTGTGAGGAGACCTGAAAGTGGCACATGGCAGAGTGTGGCGATGGAGACAGCAGCAATGGGAGGCCGTACAGGGACCCATGACAGACTCTGGACCTGGTAGCAGCATGAGGAGGCGGTATAGGGGCCCATGGCAGATTAGGGGCCTGGCAGCAGCTATGGGAGGCCCGTAATCTGCCAGCACCCTATGTCAAAAAATTCAACACACCAGCAGTGTGTGAGGAGACCTGAAAGTGGCACATGGCAGAGTGTGGCAATGGAGACAGCAGCAATGGGAGGCCGTACAGGGACCCATGAGAGACTCTGGACCTGGCAGCAGCATGAGGAGGCGGTATAGGGGGCCATGGCAGATTAGGGGCCTGGCAGCAGCTATGGGAGGCCCGTAATCTGCCTGCACCCTATGTCAAAAAATTGAACACACCAGCAGTGTGTGAGGAGACCTGAAAGTGGCACATGGCAGAGTGTGGCGATAGAGATAGCAGCAATGGGAGGCCGTACAGGGACCCATGAGAGACTCTGGACCTGGCAGCAGCATGAGGAGGCGGTATAGGGGGCCATGGCAGATTAGGGGCCTGGCAGCAGCTATGGGAGGCCCGTAATCTGCCAGCACCCTATGTCAAAAAATTGAACACACCAGCATTGTGTGAGGAGACCTGAAAGTGGCACATGGCAGAGTGTGGCGATGGAGACAGCAGCAATGGGAGGCCGTACAGGGACCCATGACAGACTCTGGACTTGGCAGCAGCATGAGGAGGCGGTATAGGGGCCCATGGCAGATTAGGGGCCTGGCAGCAGCTATGGGAGGCCCGTAATCTGCCAGCACCCTATGACAAAAAATGGAACACACCAGCAGTGTGAGGAGACCTGAAAGTGGCACATGGCAGAGTGTGGCGATGGAGACAGCAGCAATGGGAGGCCGTACAGGGACCCATGAGAGACTCTGGACCTGGCAGCAGCATGAGGAGGCGGTATAGGGGCCCATGGCAGATTAGGGGCCTGGCAGCAGCTATGGGAGGCCCGTAATTTGCCAGCACCCTATGACAAAAAATGGAACACACCAGCAGTGTGAGTAGACCTGAAATTGGCACATGGCAGGGGCATGATTCATCGCGGATTTAGTCAGTTGTGTCAGGAACTGGTGGTTTGAAATCCAGACTAATCCACGCCTGATTCATTTTCACAAACGTGAGTCTCTCCACACTTTGGGTGGACAGTCGTGTCCTCCGCGGAGTTACAATACCTCCTGCCGCACTAAACACGCGCTCCGATGCCACGCTACTGGCCGGGCATGACAGCCTTTCAAGGGCAAATTCAGCTAGTTGGGGCCAAAGGTCAAGTTTCGTTGCCCAGTAGTCAAGGGATTGTCTACCTCGGTTGGCAGGGTGCTGTCCAAGTAGGCCCAAGCCTGTTGTTTGAGGTCCTGCTCCAGGTCCACCTGATGCTGCTAAACAATATGATAGTGTGACAAGAACACACCTATCTGAAAAAGAAGGTTTCTAAAAGATCCACGCGGAGTAGTATGAATTCAAATGAATTTAACAATACTTTATTTGATCACATAGATCATGGGGAGGTTAAACATGAGCACGGTGTACATATGAAAAATAAAATCATGTTTAAAAACACTTAGCGTCTTCAATTTAGGGTCATCTTAGCCAACAGAGCACCATATAAGGCAGAGTAGTGTAATGATGGAATAGTTATCCTGGATTTCCGTAGGTTTCCTGCTTAATATTTGTGTGAACCGTATATTCAGTGGGTGTGTGTTCCCAGTATATGTCAGGGACCTCCTGGAATGTACAAGCTGGAACACAAAAATACATGGTATGTATCTAGCAATATGGAAACCAAATCACATCCAAAATTTACCAGGCCTCCCTCCACAATAGTCAATGGATACTACTGTTACCTTTTCAAAGGTGAGACTATCATACCCGCCTCTCAAATGTAGGGACTTCCTGGATAGCCACCCCAAATGGAACAAGGTCCACAGTACCAAATGATTCTGAGGATATACATAGAAAAAGATAATAAATGTGTAGATCATGGGCATCAGGTAACCCCGAAAACAAAACACACATAGAGATGTGGATATATTACCATCAATGAGGATCAAGAAGACTCCTGTCGACTTGAACTAAGATCAGGTCCTTGATGCTTTCCAAAAATGCATATGGGGGTGAGGGACCAGGTATACACGATGCGTGGATTTCAAACACATATAGTGTGTATATAACATATAGCAGGCCGTAGATACCTGAATTTAATATACCCAGTAAAGGGTTTCCAAAAATTGCTCAATTTGAGAAGGTTATTTGCGGTTTTATAAGGATGTGGCTATGTCACAGCAAAAGAATACCTGAATAGGATAGCGTATATATATATATATATATATATATATATATATATATATATATGTAGATTCTCCTCCTGAGAGGATTTCCAAAAAATTCCCCGAGTATACAGGGTAAATTAGGCCCATACAACATGCCCTATGAACACCATGTAGGCTCGTAAATCTCAACAGCCGTAAGCTTTTAAATAACTTGCCACCGGTGGAAGATATGTTTTTTCCCTGAGGGATTGCCGTTTGCGAACCGCTGTGATAATAGCCCACTGGTAGTTCTCAAAAAGGTCTTGGGCCTACCTAACAGGGAGCTGTGACACCGCCGTTCCTTCCCGGCTCATGGGCGCCGCACCCTGTGAAGACGCCGAGCGTAGTGACGTCAATACGTTGACGCGTTTCGTCTGCCAATCACCGCAGACTTCGTCAGAACTGGGAGGGGACTTCAATCCTTTGCCTTATATGGTGCACTAATTGCATACCAAAAAGTCTCCACCTCGCCATCTTGTGTTGAAAGAATATCACTACATTGGGAATATCCAAAAGTGAATTAAAACATATATCTTGAATTTTAAAATGATGCTGGATGTGGAAGAGGAGCCCAATTACTATGGATCAAATCATCTTCCAAGAGAATGATAAACAGGAGATTATTATTAGCATATTTCACTTTCACATAGGGAAACATCAAAACCAAGTCCAGCTACCAAGATTTCAAAAACAGTCCTATTGTTCTATATGCTCACCACCTAATAAGAGTAGAAAGAATTGAACAATTAGGTTCATATTTTGTCCACAGAGGCCCATATTTAGTTCATATATAAGGTATCGCAATGTAGATTATAACTCAGGGTATATAGAGAGTTCAAGGGAATTTATTTCAAAAACACCCCAAAGTTAAGTTCTGTGTTTAGTCCAGATGGGACAAGTGCCCCTAGGGTATAAATCCAGAATTTTTCTTTTTGTAGGAGGACTTTATCAAAATCACCCCGACGAGCCGAAATATTCAGCAGAAAGATCCCTTTTACTTTTAGACCATCTGTTTTGCCCCCGTGTACTTCTTTAAAGTGTTGCGCCAATGGTTTCACTTTTTCTCCCTTTCTTACATTCCTATTTTCATTTCTAATGTCTCTCAGATGTTCACCAATCCTAGTCCTAAGGCTTCTTTTGGTTTTACCTATATAAATCTTTTTACATGGGCATTCTATCAGTATATCATTTTACTACTAGAACAGTTAATGAAGCTTCGTATTTGAAATATCCTAGAGTTATCATTGTTGAAGAACTGATTAGACTTATGTACAAATGGACAAATCTGACAATGACAACATGGAAACATACCATATACACCAGTCTTCCTAGTTAGCCAGTTTCTCTGTGGTACCCTCTGAAATTCTGATTGTACTAATATATCATTTAGATTCCGAGTTCGTTTTGCCACCATATGGGGGCTCTCTCCTACCACTTTCGCTATCTGCGGATTTTGAATTAGTAAATGCCAATGGGAGTCCAGGGCCTTCTTGACTTCATCCCATTGTTGTCCGAATTTAGTTATGAATCTTACCGGTTGGTTTTCAGTATTCGCAGCTGCCTTTGGTTTTGATTTATTAATTAGTTCCTCTCTTGATTTACCGAGGGCTCTTCTTTTTGCTCTTCTTAGGGTTCTATGTGTGAATAGCCCCTCTCTCTGAACCTTTTGTAGAGCTGGATAGATTCATGTCTATATTCTAATTCTTCTGTACAGTTTCTTTTTATTCTCTGGAACTGACCAATAGGGATTCCCTGTTTTAGACTCTTTGGATGGTAGCTATTAGCATGTAGAAGTGTATTGGCCGCTGTTTCCTTTCTAAATGTTTTAGTGACCAGTTTATTTTCGTGGACAGAGATTGACAAATCCAAAAACGTTATCACCTCTCTATCCACTGTATAAGTAAGTTTGATATTTCTATCATTCTTGTTCAAAAATTCCATAAAGCTTTTAAGCTCATCCATACCTCCATCCCATACCATTAGGACATCATCAATGTATCGCAACCAGGTTATTGCATATTGTTTATAGGGAGTGGAGGGATATACTAGCTCCTCTTCCCACATACCTAGATGTAGACATGCGAATGCCGGGGCCCAAGGTGCTCCCAGGGAGGTACCACATATTTGCTGATAGAAGAAGCCCAGAAACTGAAAACAGTTATGGGTCAACATAAACTCAAGCAAATCCAATATAAATTCATTTTGGGCCTCCATTTCAGGAAAATATATCTCGAGAAAATGGGCCACCGCTTTTTGTCCCCAAACGTGTGGGATGGAGGTATAAAGTGATTCCACATCGATGCCCACCAGGAGTGCACCTTCTGGTACTTTTACATTTAGAATCTTTTTAAGTACATCCCCCGTATCTCTTACATAAGATTTGAGCTCCAAGACCAAATCCTTGATCAAGTCGTCTACAAATTTACCTATTGGTTCCAAAGGACCACCAATAGCAGATACTATAGGGCGTCCCGGGGGTTGAGAGGGATTTTTATGTATTTTTGGGATTACGTAGAAGGTGGGGATATTATATGTATCAACTGTCAACATATCACATTCCCGTTTGGTTAATAGGTTTGCTTCACGTGCCAATCCCACTTTTTTATTTAGATCAACCACCAGTTTTGGGAACGGGTTATTATGTAGTTTGCGATATGTATCCAGGCTCCTCAGCTGTCTAAACACCTCCTTCTCATATTCCACACTCTCTAGTAGTACTACATTCCCCCCTTTATCACTCTTTTTAATCACAATGTTTTTAGCATTTCTAAGTTCCCTAAGGGCTATTCTTTCACCCCTAGTGAGGTTATCAGCATTCCTCATTGTCCAGTCTATTTTTCCAAGGTCATCATGTACTAGATCTAAAAAAGTACTTAGCCATTTATTTTCCCTGATATTAGGCATTCTTCTGGAAGGAGTTTTAAGTCTAGTATGTCTTTTCCACTTGTTAGAAACATCTCCCTCCCCAAATTCACTGTCTGTGGGAGTCTCATCAAGGAGACTAATGAGATCTCTTAATGCCTGTTGTTCTCTCTCTGAATTCAGATCACAGGGATTTTGTTCTTCTCTAGATACATATGGAATTCTTAAAAGGATCTTTCTCAGAAACAAGTTTAAGTCTTTATAGACCTCAAACAAGTCCATTTTGTCCGTAGGAGAAAAAGTTAGACCTTTCCGCAGTAAATCATAGTGTCTTTTTTTCAATACAAAGTTAGATAGATTTATTACCTTAAGGTCATTCGTTCCCCCCTCTTGGTTAGTTTTTATCTCTTGTGACTTCTGGTTCGATTTTGATTGGATGGTTTGAGGGCAATTGGGGTGTTTCTTTCTTCCTTTGTCCCATTCATTTGTTTGTTTGTTTGTTTTAGTATTCCATGGTTCTCGCCATCTGTTTTTTCCTCTAAAAAACTGACAGATCTCTTATTACTTTCATCATCATCCTCACTCATTGATGAATATCCTCTATTATTTCTAGAAAAATGTTTTTTACGTTTTGATCGACTCCTTCCTCTACTATTAGTTAGGTCAAATATCTCACCTTTCTCCCAGTCCTCTAGGTCTCTTCTAAATTTTTGTTGTTTCGTAAATTTCAGATTTTTTTGTATTTTTTCTATCTCTTTTCTAAGGAAATCATTATGTTTATCAAACTCAGGATCATTCTTCAGAGGATCAAGTGATTTTGCGCTCTCATTAATTTCATTAGAGAGTTCATTTAATTGAACCTTCTCTTCTTCCACAATTAATCGCATAGTCTCTATGCCATGTTTTATACAGACCTCTTTCCACCTTTCCAGAAATCTGGGGGTGTGAAGATGTTCTGCTGGAATTACCCTTTCTCTTAATCCCCTGGGAACAATCCCTGGGTATATTAAATTCAGGTATCTACGGCCTGCTATATGTTATATACACACTATATGTGTTTGAAATCCACGCATCGTGTATACCTGGTCCCTCACCCCCATATGCATTTTTGGAAAAGCATCAAGGACCTGATCTTAGTTCAAGTCGACAGGAGTCTTCTTGATCCTCATTGATGGTAATATATCCACATCTCTATGTGTGTTTTGTTTTCGGGGTTACCTGATGCCCATGATCTACACATTTATTATCTTTTTCTATGTATATCCTCAGAATCATTTGGTACTGTGGACCTTGTTCCATTTGGGGTGGCTATCCAGGAAGTCCCTACATTTGAGAGGCGGGTATGATAGTCTCACCTTTGAGAAGGTAACAGTAGTATCCATTGACTATTGTGGAGGGAGGCCTGGTAAATTTTGGATGTGATTTGGTTTCCATATTGCAGATACATACCATGTATTTTTGTGTTCCAGCTTGTACATTCCAGGAGGTCCCTGACATATACTGGGAACACACCCACTGAATATACGGTTCACACAAATATTAAGCAGGAAACCTACGGAAATCCAGGATAACTATTCCATCATTACACTACTCTGCCATATATGGTGCTCTGTTGGCTAAGATGACCCTAAATTGAAGACGCTAAGTGTTTTTAAACATGATTTTATTTTTCATATGTACACCGTGCTCATGTTTAACCTCCCCATGATCTATGTGATCAAATAAAGTATTGTTAAATTCATTTGAATTCATACTACTCCGCGTGGATCTTTTAGAAACCTTCTTTTTCAGATAGGTGTGTTCTTGTCACACTATCATATTGTTTAGTATGCTGTCCCCTGGGTTTATGTATCCACACTTGTACAAGTGAGTCGGAGAGGTGCTTATGACATTAACAATTAGTGTCATTTTTGGTGGCTTGCTCTTGCTTTATTATTGTGATATACCACCTGATGCTGCTGCTGCTGCGGCTGGTTAGTAGTTTCCTCACTGCGCTGGTGAAGAAAGCTACTCATCATCGACTGCAGACTGAGGCAGCCGCTGCTGGTGGAGCTACCACTGCTCCTACCACCCCACCCCTCCCCTGCTGCCATGGCAGCGGAACGCGCGAGCGCACAGGGCCCACAGTGTCTGAGGATGGACGTTGGCGCAGAAAGGCACAGACCAACTGACTACATAGGTGGTTTTTATAGTACGTTTATTTTGGCCTCCCTCTCAGCAGGTGTGAAAAAGGCCACCATTTTTGAACGGTAGCGAGGGTCCAACAAGGTGGACAGCCAAAAGTCATCCCTCTGTCTGATGGTTATTATTCAGCTGTCGCTACGCAAGCAAGCGAGCATGCTATGGGCCATTTGTGCCAAGGAATGCGAGGGACTCCCTGCCTCCATCTCCACAGCATACTGCCACGGTGCGTCTGGGTCCTCTGTCTCCTCCCTCCGCCTCCTCTACCAGATGCTCCTGCTCCTCCACTCCTGTCCGCTGAGTGGAAAAACCACCCATTTCACACTCAATAATTCCTGAGCAGAAATGTCCTCCTCTACCTCCTCCTCTTCTTCCTGTCCTGCCCCCACAGGGGTCATGTGGCGTTGAGATCTGTGCGCCACGTCTACCGCACCCTGACCAGCCATTGTTAACAGCATTTGTTCCAGGACGTGCAACAGAGGAATGACGTCGTTCATCCCATAGTCCTGCCGACTCACGAATAGCGTGGCCTCCTCAAAGGGCCTGAGCAAGCGGCAGGTGTCACGCATGAGCTGCCAATGGCTGACATCGAAGTTACACAGGGGAGTACCTTTATCCGCTTGTAACATCAGGAAATCGGTGATGGCCTTTCGCTGTTCGTAAAGGCGGTCTAACATATGTAGGGTTGAATTCCACCTTGTTGCAACGTCGCAGATCAGGCGATGCTGTGGAATTCCGTTCTGCCGCTGCAGCTCAAGGAGGGTGTGCTTTGCGGTGTAGGAATGGCTGAAATGCATGCAAAGTTTACGTGACATTTTAAGGATGTCTTGCAGTGGGATGGTGGATTTTAGGAACCGCTTGACAACCAGATTGAACACGACCTTCCTTGACGCAGAGCAGACACCATGTTCTTTCCGTTGTCGGTCAACATGGTTCCGATTTTCAGTTTGCGCGGAGACAGCCATCTGTCGATTTCTCTGTTCATTACACTGAGAAGTTCCTCCCCTGTGTGACTACGTTCGCCTGGACCTGGCAGCAGCATGAGGAGGCGGTACAGGGGCCCATGGCAGATTACGGGCCTGGCAGCAGCTATGGGAGGCCCGTAATTTGCCAGCACCCTATGACAAAAAATTGAACACACCAGCAGTGTGAGGAGACCTGAAAGTGGCACATGGCATGAGACACTGTGGACCTGGCAGCAGCATGAGGAGGCGGTACAGGGGCCCATGGCAGATTAGGGGCCTGGCAGCAGCTATGGGAGGCCCGTAATCTGCCAGCACCCTATGACAAAAAATGGAACACACCAGCAGTGTGTGAGGAGACCTGAAAGTGGCACATGGCAGAGTGTGGCGATGGAGACAGCAGCAATGGGAGGCCGTACAGGGACCCATGAGAGACTCTGGACCTGGCAGCAGCATGAGGATGCAGTATAGGGGCCCGTGGCAGATTAGGGGCCTGGCAGCAGCTATGGGAGGCCCGTAATCTGCCAGCACCCTATGACAAAAAATGGAACACACCAGCAGTGTGAGGAGACCTGAAAGTGGCACATGGCAGAGTGTGGCGATGGAGACAGCAGCAATGGGAGGCCATACAGGGACCCATGAGAGACTCTGGACCTGGCAGCAGCATGAGGAGGTGGTATAGGGGCCCATGGCAGATTAGGGGCCTGGCAGCAGCTATGGGAGGCCCGTAATCTGCCAGCACCCTATGTCAAAAAATTGAACACACCAGCAGTGTGTGAGGAGACCTGAAAGTGGCACATGGCAGAGTGTGGCGATGGAGACAGCAGCAATGGGAGGCCGTACAGGGACCCATGAGACACTCTGGACCTGGCAGCAGCATGAGGAGGCGGTACAGGGGCCCATGGCAGATTAGGGGCCTGGCAGCAGCTATGGAAGGCCCGTATTCTGCCAGCACCCTATGACAAAAAATGGAACACACCAGCAGTGTGAGGAGACCTGAAAGTGGCACATGGCATGAGACACTGTGGACCTGGCAGCAGCATGAGGAGGCCGTACAGGGGCCCATGGCAGATTAGGGGCCTGGCAGCAGCTATGGGAGGCCCGTAATCTGCCAGCACCCTATGACAAAAAATGGAACACACCAGCAGTGTGTGAGGAGACCTGAAAGTGGCACATGGCAGAGTGTGGCGATGGAGACAACCCACCGACTGTTTTGCTCGCTGCCAAGCTGCCACCCTCTTCTCCTGATGATGCGGAAGCAATAGCCTGATGACGACGAGGCTGCCAAGTGCGATCAGCCTCATCATCATCAATTAGGGTCTCCGCCTCACTACTAGCCCCCTCGGCTGCGTGTGGGTCAGGAGACAGACCTGTCTCTAGACCGGCTACCGAGCCACTCTCCTCGCCACTACTTCTTTGCCTGGCTGCTGAAGAGGCGGATGTCTCCCCCCGTTCCTGACCGCCCTCTGTTAGCTCTTCCTCACTGTACTGGATGACACCGGGAGCACTGGCCTCTGGCTGCGAATAGTGCTGCCTCGACCCCTTCCTCTGCTGCCACGTCTGCTCGCTCCTAAAACATTGCCTCCTCTGCCACTCCTCTGCATGTTGTCTGACATACTCTTTAATTAAACGATTCTGTGTCCCTGAGTAACAATTCTGTGTCTGTCCCTGAGTAACAATTCTGTGTCCCTGAGTAACGTTTCTGTGGCCCTAAGTAACAGTTCTGTGTCCCTCAGTAACAATTCTGTGTCCCTCAGTAACAATTCTGTGTCTGTCCCTGAGTAACAATTCTGTGTCCCTGAGTAACAATTCTGTGTCCCTCAGTAACAATTCTGTGTCCCTGAGTAACAATTCTGTGTCCCTCAGTAACAATTCTGTGTCCCTGAGTAACAATTCTGTGTCTGTCCCTGAGTAACAATTCTGTGTCCCTAAGTAACGTTTCTGTGGCCCTAAGTAACGGTTCTGTGTCCCTCAGTAACAAATCTGTGTCCCTCAGTAACAATTCTGTGTCCCTCAGTAACAATTCTGTGTCTGTCCCTGAGTAACAATTCTGTGTCTGTCCCTGAGTAACAATTTTGTGTCCCTGAGTAACAATTCTGTGTCCCTCAGTAACAATTCTGTGTCCCTGAGTAACAATTCTGTGTCCCTGAGTAACAATTCTGTGTCTGTGTCCCTCAGTAACAATTCTGTGTGCCTCAGTAACAATTCTGTGTCCCTGAGTAACAATTCTGTGTCTGTCCCTGAGTAACAATTCTGTGTCCCTAAGTAACGTTTCTGTGGCCCTAAGTAACGGTTCTGTGGCCCTCAGTAACAAATCTGTGTCCCTCAGTAACAATTCTGTGTCTGTCCCTGAGTAACAATTCTGTGTCCCTAAGTAACGTTTCTGTGTCCCTAAGTAACGTTTCTGTGGCCCTAAGTAACGATTCTGTGGCCCTAAGTAACGATTCTGTGGCCCTAAGTAACGTTTCTGTAGCCCTAAGTAACGGTTCTGTGGCCCTCAGTAACAATTCTGTGTCCCTCAGTAACAATTCTGTGTCTGTCCCTAAGTAACAATTCTGTGGCCCTAAGTAACGTTTCTGTGGCCCTAAGTAACGTTTCTGTGGCCCTCAGTAACAATTCTGTATCCCTCAGTAACAATTCTGTGTCTGTCCCTGAGTAACAATTCTGTGTCCCTAAGTAACAATTCTGTGGCCCTAAGTAACAATTCTGTGGCCCTAAGTAACGTTTCTGTGGCCCTAAGTAACGATTCTGTGGCCCTAAGTAACGTTTCTGTGGCCCTCAGTAACAAATCTGTGTCCCTCAGTAACAATTCTGTGTCTGTCCCTAAGTAACAATTCTGTGGCCCTAAGTAACGTTTCTGTGGCCCTAAGTAACGGTTCTGTGTCCCTCAGTAACAATTCTGTATCCCTCAGTAACAATTCTGTGTCTGTCCCTGAGTAACAATTCTGTGGCCCTAAGTAACGTTTCTGTGGCCCTAAGTAACGTTTCTGTGGCCCTAAGTAACGATTCTGTGGCCCTAAGTAACGTTTCTGTGGCCCTCAGTAACAAATCTGTGTCCCTCAGTAACAATTCTGTGTCTGTCCCTAAGTAACAATTCTGTGGCCCTAAGTAACATTTCTGTGGCCCTAAGTAACGGTTCTGTGGCCCTAAGTAACGATTCTGTGGCCCTAAGTAACGTTTCTGTGGCCCTAAGTAACGTTTCTGTGGCCCTCAGTAACAAATCTGTGTCCCTCAGTAACAATTCTGTGTCTGTCCCTAAGTAACAATTCTGTGGCCCTAAGTAACGTTTCTGTGGCCCTAAGTAACGGTTCTGTGGCCCTCAGTAACAATTCTGTGTCCCTCAATAACAATTCTGTGTCTGTCCCTAAGTAACAATTCTGTGGCCCTAAGTAACTAAGTAACGTTTCTGTGGCCCTAAGTAACGATTCTGTGGCCCTCAGTAACAATTCTGTATCCCTCAGTAACAATTCTGTGTCTGTCCTGAGTAACAATTCTGTGTCCCTAAGTAACGTTTCTGTGGCCCTAACTAACGATTCTGTGGCCCTAAGTAACGTTTCTGTGGCCCTAAGTAACGTTTCTGTGGCCCTCAGTAACAAATCTGTGTCCCTCAGTAACAATTCTGTGTCTGTCCCTAAGTAACAATTCTGTGGCCCTAAGTAACGTTTCTGTGGCCCTAAGTAACGGTTCTGTGGCCCTCAGTAACAATTCTGTGTCCCTCAATAACAATTCTGTGTCTGTCCCTAAGTAACAATTCTGTGGCCCTAAGTAACGATTCTGTGGCCCTCAGTAACAAAACAATCTGTGTCCCTCAGTAACAATTCTGTGTCTGTCCCTAAGTAACAATTCTGTGGCCCTAAGTAACGTTTCTGTGGCCCTAAGTAACGGTTCTGTGGCCCTCAGTAACAATTCTGTGTCCCTCAATAACAATTCTGTGTCTGTCCCTAAGTAACAATTCTGTGGCCCTAAGTAATGTTTCTGTGGCCCTAAGTAACGATTCTGTGGCCCTCAGTAACAAATCTGTGTCCCTCAGTAACAATTCTGTGTCTGCCCTAAGTAACAATTCTGTGGCCCTAAGTAACGATTCTGTGGCCCTCAGTAACAAATCTGTGTCCCTCAGTAACAATTCTGTCTGTCCCTAAGTAACAATTTTGTGGCCCTAAGTAACGTTTCTGTGGCCCTAAGTAACGATTCTGTGGTAACGGTTCTGTGGCCCTCAGTAACAATTCTGTGTCCCTCAGTAAACAATTCTGTGTCTGTCCCTAAGTAACAATTCTGTGTCCCTAAGTAACGTTTCTGTGGCCCTAAGTAACGTTTCTGTGGCCCTAAGTAACGATTCTGTGGCCCTAAGTAACGTTTCTGTGGCCCCTAAGTAACAATTCTGTGTCCCTCAGTAACAATTCTGTGTCCCTCAATAACAATTTCTGTGTCTGTCCTAAGTAACAATTCTGTGGCCCTAAGTAATGTTTCTGTGGCCCTAAGTAACGATTCTGTGGCCCTCAGTAACAAATCTGTGTCCCTCAGTAACAATTCTGTGTCTGTCCCTAAGTAACAATTCTGTGGCCCTAAGTAACGTTTCTGTGGCCCTAAGTAACGTTTCTGTGGCCCTCAGTAACAATTCTGTGTCCCTCAGTAACAATTCTGTATCCCTCAGTAACAATTCTGTGTCCCTAAGTAACAATTCTGTGGCCCTAAGTAACGTTTCTGTGGCCCTAAGTAACGTTTCTGTGTAACGATTTCTGTGCCCTAAGTAACGTTTCTGTGGCCCTAAGTAACGTTTCTGTGGCCCTCAGTAACAATTCTGTGTCCCTCAGTAACAATTCTGTGTCTGTCCCTAAGTAACAATTCTGTGGCCCTAAGTAACGTTTCTGTGGCCCTAAGTAACGATTCTGTGGCCCTCAGTAACAAATTCTGTGGCCCTCAGTAACAATTCTGTGTCCCCTAAGTAACAATTTCTGTGGCCCTCAAGTAACAATTCTGTGTCCCTCAGTAACAATTCTGTGTCTGTCCCTAAGTAACAATTCTGTGGCCCTAAGTAACGTTTCTGTGGCCCTAAGTAACGATTCTGTGGCCCTCAGTAACAAATCTGTGTCCCTCAGTAACAATTCTGTGTCTGTCCCTAAGTAACAATTCTGTGGCCCTAAGTAACGTTTCTGTGGCCCTAAGTAACGATTCTGTGGCCCTCAGTAACAATTCTGTATCCCTCAGTAACAATTCTGTGTCTGTCCCTGAGTAACAATTCTGTGTCCCTAAGTAACGTTTCTGTGGCCCTAACTAACGATTCTGTGGCCCTAAGTAACGTTTCTGTGGCCCTAAGTAACGTTTCTGTGGCCCTAAGTAACGATTCTGTGGCCCTAAACTAATTCGTTTCTGTGTCCCTAAGTAACAATTCTGTGGCCTCTAAGTAAGTTGCCTCTGTTGGACTGGAGTAAACTGGTCCTGTGGCCCTCAATGTAACAATTTGTGTCCCTCAATTAACAATTGCTGTGTCTGTCCCTAAGTAACAATTCTGTGGCCCTAAGTAACGATTCTGTGGCCCTCAGTAACAAATCTGTGTCCCCTCAGTAACAATTCTGTGTCTGTCCCTAAGTAACAATTCTGTGGCCCTAAGTAACGTTTCTGTGGCCCTAAGTAACGGTTCTGTGGCCCTCAGTAACAATTCTGTGTCCCTCAATAACAATTCTGTGTCTGTCCCTAAGCAACAATTCTGTGGCCCTAAGTAATGTTTTCTGTGGCCCTAGTAACGATTCTGTGGCCCTCAGTAACAAATCTGTGTCCCTCAGTAACAATTCTGTGTCAATTCCCTAAGTAACAATTTCTGTGGCCCAGTAAGTAACGTTTCTGTGGCCCTGCGGTATGTACTGTATCCCTCAGTAACAATGTCT